CCTTAAGGGGGGGAGGTTATAGCGATCCTGGTTCTTCCTCCATTGATTGTTGTATTCGAACTTAGGTTCCATGGAGTTAATTGTTGTATATGTCTTGTTGTCATCCTTCAATTCCATATATTTGAGTTTTAGGATGTATTGGGCGTGTTTCGAACAGGTTGGTTGAGCTTTAGTCCCATTCCTTGTTGCCCAGATTTTTGGTGGTCCGATCGAGCGAGTCCCTTTGCGCTCGAGCGGAGTTTACACACTTTCAGCATTTTGTGCCTCTGCAAAACTTCTGCAGGTGCGTTTTTTACGCTTGAGCGGATTTTCTTACGCTCAAGCTTCTGCTCAAGCGGGTCGCGCTTGAGCGGACCTATTGGCGCTCGAGCTGGTGTTCAAGGTCTGTAAAAATACTAGAAGGGGTTAATCTACGCTCGAGAGGTTTTCCTTTCGCGCTCGAGCGGGTGTGTTTTGCAGTTGTGTCTTGGCGCTCGAGCAAGCATTTTTGCGCTCGAGCGGGTTCAGTTTTTTGTGCTTGACGCCCGAGCGTCCTATTCTTCGCTCGAGCGGACTAGTCGTATATCAGTTGGCAGCTGGGTGATCTTAGATCACTTTTACACTTTCCTTCTCTCTCTTACTTTTCAAAAAGCCATTTTTGAGAGCTCCTCTCTCTAGAATATATCTTCTCTCTAGGGTTTGATCTAGTTAGAGTGATCTCCTACCCTTAAGCCTTTACAAAAAGTGTAGAGCTTGGTGTGGGCTTCCTATCAATCCGAGAATTTGTGGATTTGGAGCATTTCGGGATTTCTTCATCTTCTCCTTTGGGTTTTATCTCTTGAGGTAGGGATTCCTACTCATCTTTATGAGCTTTAACCTAAATATTGAGTTTTTGTATAAATGGTTTGATTTGGGAAGTTAGGGTTTGTAATGTGTTATATTGGAAAAAGGGGTTTTTGCTCTTTTGATTCAAACAAATGGGTTTTGGGTCAAAAAAGAGGTTATTAATGTTGTTGATAATATTTGGACTTTTGGGTCACTATTGAGAAATCCTATCAATCCGAGAATTTGTGGATTTGGAGCATTTCGGGATTTCTTCATCTTCTCCTTTGGGTTTCATCTCTTGAGGTAGGGATTCCTACTCATCTTTATGAGCTTTAACCTAAATGTTGAGTTTTTGTATAAATGGTTTGATTTGGGAAGTTAGGGTTTGTAATGTGTTATATTGGAAAGAGGGGTTTTTGCTATTTTGATTCAAACAAATGGGTTTTGGGTCTAAAAAGGAGGTTATTGATGTTGTTGATAATATTTGGACCTTTGGGTCACTATTGAGAAAAAAGGGGAAAATGTCATGTTTGGGTATATTTGGGTCATTGGTATAATTAATGACAATTGTTATGGAATCATGAAATTGAGTTCGAAATAATGAAATTGGTTCATTATGTAATGAAATTCGCTCACCTTCGAAAATTGTTGATACTTGTCTGTTGAATACGTTTATTATCTGTTTAGAAATAATTGTTTTGGGCTATCGGTGGAGGATAGTCTTGATTGTTGTAGACAATGCATGATGATTAGGCAAATTGAAACTAATCAATTGAGTATGTCATCGGATATGACGGTTGGAATAATACATCAAACTTAAGCATTGATTGATTATGTATATGATATATGTTTATATACATTGTATTGTGTAGGATGAGATAGGGGATGTACTCCATGGTTTAGGGGAAAATAGGAGATGGACTCCTAAACCAGATATTATTTTGGAGGAGATAGGGGATGGACTCCATTGATATAGCAAATATGTGTATCTATTGAAGTATTGATACAGCAAATCTGTGTATCATTTGTGAAGTATGGAAGTGTTTTTATGTATTTTGATATAGCAATTATGTGTATCTATTGAGGCTTATGGAAGTGTTTTGATATGAGTTGTTATCTCATTGTATTGTTGAAATGGATGAATTATTGATATGAGATGTATTCTCATTTAAAGTATATGACCAGGTTCTGAGCCAGGATTATGAATTGAGAAATTGGATAAGAAATGGAAAATGGAATGAAACATGGACGCTTTTGTCATGTAATTGAAATGGTTTATGAATTGATTTATATGAGTTAAACATTTATCAAATGCTAATGTTTTAGTTATTGCTCATATTATGTTTAGCATATCTCTACTGGGCGTTGGCTCACCCTATATGGGACATCATTTTCAAGTCCAGGTATTATGCCGCCTCCGAGATCTTAGCTTGGATGGCTGTGGGAGTTGAAGACTCTTTGTTTATTTTTGTTGTATTACATGTATATCAAGCCACGGGCTTATTTTGTGTAGAGTTAGTACTCTCTCTTTGTATCCAAGTGTTGACTTGGAAAGTTGTAAGCGTATAGGGCATTTAAAAAATAAAATTCCTTATTGATTTACCATACAATAATAAAAAGGAAAATTCATATCTCTCCAATTTTCTAATTTTAAAATAAAGTGTTGTCCCTTTAATTAAAATAAATGCCTCTTAATTTGTATTGAATCTTGTTTCGTAATAATTTTTTTTTAGTCAATAATGAATATTTATAATGTATAAAATAAATTGATCATTCTATTTTATTTCATTCCAACAATATTAGTTAGGAGAAATTATCCAAAAAAAAAAAATGATCCTTATAACAAAATGAATCTTGAATTTTTAATTTGATCAGTTTAAACCTTAATATTTTGATTAGTTTTCAATCTAAATCATTTATCTATTTTTCTTAGGTAAAATTAACAACAAAAAAAAAGCATTTTAATTACTAAACTTAATGAAAAATGACATTAAATTTAGCAGAATTGGGTAGTTGGGATCAGTGGTTGTGGGGGACAATACAAAGGCAAATTATTGGGTTGGAACAGTTTGAAATACAAGTCTTAGTCTAGTTTGATAAAAAAAACTAAACTAAACTATTCTAATATCATATGTATGCATTGTAATGTTTGGACGGGAAAACTCTCAAACAATAAAAGTATGTAAATAAAAAATGAAAAATGTCAATAAAAAACACATAATAAGAAGAACATATAACAAAAATCGATGTAGTTGGGATCAGTGGCTGTGGGGGACAATACACAGACAAATTATTGGGTTGGATCGGTTTGAAATACAAGGCTTAGTTTAGTTTGATAAAAATAAAATAAAATAAATAATAATAATTAACTATCCTAATATCATATGTATGCATTGTAATGTTTGGACCACAGAACTCTTAAGCAATAAAAGTATGTAAATAAAATGAAAAATGTCAATAAAAAACACATAATAAGAAGAAAATATAAAAAGCAATAATCATAAAAAAAATAGAATAAACCTTATGCATTGTAAAGTTTTTGGCAATGGTAAAGTTTATTCGATTGAAACTGGATACCGGTCAATAAGAACTTTCAGAAAGTTGTTGCAGAGACCTAGGTGCTATGAAGTATCGACACTTCAAAATAAGTGTTGCAGTCATGTCGGATAAGAACGCAATTGTCATCAATTTTGTTGGTGAAAAGGCAAAAGTTAAATAAGTTATAGTTATCAAATGGACTTAATTTTTTGTGTAGATGAAATACACAAAGTGCTTAATAAAATGAATGATTCAGATTATCGAAATGGGGCATGTGGTAGGCCTCATGGGCCAAAACAATGCTCGCTAATCCAAATTTTAAATTGGAACAGATCTTTCTCTTAATTCGATTCCCTATGCCCTATGAAACCTCTAAAATTAGAGAGAGAAAGAAAAAAAAAAAACAATTCTCTCCGGGCCACTCTTAAATTAGAGAGAGAAACAAAAAACCCGATCACTAACGCAGTTATTTTATATGAGGAAATTCTTTTCAGTACATAATTTGAATTGAAGAGCGCTGTTTAGTCTTGTGATATCTATCATAGATATCGTTTTGATAATTTGAACTACTAAGTATGTTGGACATTTCATTTTTTTCTTTCGTGAACATAGAAAAATTATATCGATTCAATAATCATAAACTATTTAATTTGCATTTGTCACAAAAAAAAGGGACAATTGTAATCTATTCAATTTAAATTAATTTTACAAACCTGTATCTCAACTCTCTGAAAGCGAGCTATGCTCCATTCTCATGCTTCAATGCATAATATTATAGTACATAATATTTTAATTATTAAAGTATTTGTAATAAGTAAAATATTATTATATATTTTTATGCATGTTGGAACGTTAGATTGGATGGCTTTTTAATACAATTTTTATTTCATAAAAATTATTTCGCTCACATTTAAAAAAAATATATATATAATAATAATAATTGGAATTCAAAATTATATTATACTATTAATTTTAAATTTGACTTAAATAGATTACATTAGCTCAACACAAATTGCTTATAAAGTGATAAAATTTTGGTCCGGTCCCGACCCGGCCAATGCCCAACTCCTACCCTGACCAGTTGGAGAAGTTATAAATAGGAATAGCAACGAGACAAGAAGGGTGAGTTTTACACTCCCTGTTCCCAATCTCCAATTATTATTATTTTTTTCCATTTCCATTCCTCATCCCTAACGAAGACCATTTTTATTCCACCGTCTCGCCTCTAATGAGGTTCAGTTTTTTCCGCCTCACAAATCCCCAACCCATTTTTGTGATCAGGAATGTTACATTCATCTAATTTGGTGCCGTCTGAATTGCATGAATTTGTTCACACTATTCATCTAGATGACAGGATGACAACTGCGGTAGACGAAGGTGAAACCAATTGTCCAGCATAAAGATAAAACTAATACCTATATTATAAGACAAAAACAGCTTTTGAAAATATGTTAAAACGTATTTATTTAAACAAGGTTTGAAAATATGTTATATTTTATTTGAATGACTAAAATAATTTCTAATCAATATCTACCGTTGAGATTAATTTTTTTCCCGCCCAAAAACTCTCTACTCTTTCTCCCACGTCTGCCAAACGTCTCTTAACTCCCTCTCTCTCCACGTACTCTCTCAATGTGTTGTAGTTCAGAGAGAGATGAGATGGGTGTTGCGTTCACACTTTCTCTCTCTTTCTCTCTCTTTTTCTCTCTCTAGGAGTCTCTCTCGATCCCTAATGCCGCTGTCGCACTACCGTTAGTAGAATCACCGCCTCCTTCACAACCACATCAACGACGCCCCTCTTCTGCAGCAGCGCCGTAGTCCGCATCTGCCGCTCTCCGAAAAATACTCGGCTGGGATTCAATGCTGAGCTTGGCCTCTCTGAAATTCATCCATATCCCTACATTCATAACAGTCCTTCACCGTTTTCTCTCTCTAACGTCTCTCTCATGGCGTCGACTCTCCGCCAACATTCCCTTCTCCATCCCCTCGCTCCGATCCAAACCCCCACAAATTCGCCTTCCAAAACCCTAAAATCTCCTCCCGATTGAGACGATATCTTTGCACTCATACTCTCTCTCTAGGGTTTCCGATTCTGCACCCTGTCCGTGTTCACCGCTTGATGGTCCCGTTGTTTCGGTGCCGAACAGACAATCTTCTGCAGGCTCTTCGCTACGCTGCTCAATTCGGCTCCCTTCGCTACCGACGGTGCTCTCGCAAGGTAAGATCGATTGAGTCTTTTCCCCCCTTCTCTCTCTGTTTTTGTTTTTGACTGATTTGGCTTGCTACTGTTCAAACCCCACTGTCGTCTTCAAGAACAGAGGTGTTTTACTCCAATTTCGGGCTTCCTGCAGCTCTTTATTGTACATTCGCTTCAAGGTTATGTACATTTTGTTGATTGCTGTGATGTGGGTTTGATATTTTTTCCCTTCTCTCCCTGTTCTTCTCCTTTATTTCATGAATACATAGAGTTGTTTATTTGTTATTTTTTTTCCCTTCTCTCTCTGTTCTTTTTCTTCATTTCATTAATACATATGTAATTTGGGGTTTGATTTCATGTTTTTATTAGAATTTGGTGGCCAATACAGACTTACAGGTTAAATTGAGGATTTTCTTATACTTTATCAGTGAGATAGTAAAAATCATTTAAATGCAAGTTTAACACACAAAAAAAAAAAGAAGAAAAGCCTTACACCAAACACATGGCAAACTTGAATTCCATGAAAATAAGAAAAAAAATTTCACTATCCAAACGATTTTAGATTTTCCATATATTTTTTTTTGGGTAGTTAAGTGTAAAATAGTTATGTTAAATCCTAATAAGAAACTGGTTAGGCGAGCTATTAGGCCACTCGTATTACTGGTTTTATATCTCTAAGTTGTGTTCAATTCAAGTTGCAAAACATGATCATAGACTAAACATTTGGAAAGGCATTTCCTTTCAGACAATTAAATAATGCTAGAGTTGAAGAGTTGATTGAGATACAGTTTTTTAAGAATCCATCTTTGTCAAAATGCTTTGCATGCAATTAATGTATTTCACTTCCCCCTCCTTCATAAATCCAAAATCCATCCAAACATAACACTAACGTATTCAATGGGGAAAGTGATCTTTGTTTGAATTATAATTTCGTTCCATTATTGCAGTAGACAAAGCTGGAAATCCATTATAAAAACCCAAGTTTATCAGCCTCTTCTCATGTATTCACATGTGTGAAGATGATTTCACTTGAAGAGAATGTCAGCTCTTGTTTCAAGCTGGTCCAAGAATGTTCACACCTTGCCAGAAAACTTTGTTTGCTCATCTGAAGAAAGACCTGGAGACCTTGCAGTGCCTTTGTGCAGAGGCATTCCAGTGGTTGATCTACAACAAGTAGACGGTCATGACAGAGCTGATTCAATTAAGCAAATTATGAAAGGTAGCCAGGATTTTGGAATGTTTCAGGTTCGTTGTAAATCCTTGCTTACTTAAATACACAAACACATACATATTTTATTGGAAAGCTCTTAAGACAACATTTTGAAACAATTTACAAGTATTTAGCTCTTGAAAATGTATTTACTTTTTTAACACCAACCACATGATGCCATTGACTACTACAATAATTCATAAAACAGGTGATCAACCATGGACTATTAAAAGAACTAATGGACGACACAATGAGTCTGTTCAAGGAGTTCTTTGACATGCCTGAAGAAGACAAGGCCACTTACTATTCCGAGGACACGAGTAAGAGCTTCAGACTCTATACAGGCAGTTTTCCTCACTCTGTTATTAATCGCAACTACTGGAAGGATTCAGTAAGACAAGATTGCCACCCTTTAGAGGATCACATTGAAACTTGGCTAGAAAAGCCAGATAGATACCGGTAAACCCTGCAACCCCACTACGCCGGTTAAATCTGTCTGGTCTTGTTGTTGCATAATACTTCTATGTGGCAGCAAAAAAAAAATTTGAATTATCTTTTTTTTTTTGTTTTTTTTTTCTCTTGGGGATTACTAATTGGGATTTGGGCTCTTTGAGTTGAGTTGAGTTATATAACTGACTGATAAATTATTGTTAATTTTATTTTCGGAGAGGTTGTTGGGACATATTCAGTGGAAGTGAGGAAGCTAGGCTTGAGGATTTTGAATCTTATTTGTGAAGGATTGGGAATTGAAGTGGGGTATTTTGCAGGTGACCTGAGCAAATTCCAGGGAATGATAGTTAATCATTATCCGCCATGTCCAAACCCAAGTGTGGTCTTGGGAGTATGTGGACACTACGACACCAACCTCTTAACCTTACTTCAACAGGACGAGTATGGGCTTCATATCCTCAAGGATGGGCAATGGGTTGGTGTTAAACATGTCCCCGGTGCATTTGTTATCAACATAGGCAGCCAGCTAGAGGTATATCTCCACTTTGTGCTTAATCTAGGGAGCCTACATATTATTGTCAACAGAGCGGAGTTCACCATGCCCTTAACCCAGATCCATACAGAGGAGTCTTTGGTTCAGACAGGGAGAAGTATGCAAGAGATGTTGAAGATCTCATTACCTTTGGAACTTCAGGGCATGTAGCTGGTTTTATTTCTGAAGCCATACAGGTAAGCATCGTCTATGTAAATTTGTTTTTATTGTTTCTTTTTGTGGCTATATTGATTAGGGTAATGATGTACATATAGGATTTAACACAAAAAAATTTATGCAAAATGATGTGTCGCATTTATATCCTTCTATTGATAGTCAAATGCCCATCACTATGGTTCACAATTGCGAGAGTGTCATTGCCACATTATTTTTGTCTTAAATTCTGTACGAAAATTGTGTGAGAATATCATTTTCCTATTAATACAACCTCTTCCGAGTTACTGTCTAATTTGAACTACCCTCTAAAATGGCAGGGAGTGGGTGGAATCCCCAGGTTACTTACTTGCCGTATACAGCAGTATTAAGAAAGCAGGAGGGCTTCGTATTGCCGATGAGGTTCAATCTGGGTTTGCTCACACTGGGAGCCATTTTTGGGGATTTGAGACCCAAGGCATTGTGCCTGACATAGTGACAATGGCAAAGGTAAATCTATATAATATGGCAGCATGATTTTTAAAAATGTCCAAAATGATTTTTAATGGTCTAAATTAATTCTAAGTGTATATCAATGGTTAAGATCAATCCTTTCAAATGTACCAAACACTTGATTCCCGCCCAAATACTCTTCGCTCTCTCTCTTTCTCTCACGTCTCAAACACTTAATATGGCAGGATTATTTTTTTGGCCTTTATAGATTTGGCCTCTTCTTCTTGGGGTAGCAAAGTGTGTTTTGAGGGGAGAGAGAGAGAGTGAGTGTGTGTTTTAAAATTTGAAATTTGAAAGAGTGAGATGAGCGAGAAAGGATGGATGGGTGGGTGGGGGTGAAGAGTTTTTTTTGTTTTTTGTTTTTTTGGGCTGTTGTGGCTCTTGGACACAAAGTGTGTTTTGTTGTCCGTCACGGCCACCGCTACCGTTGCCTCACTCTCTTGGGAACAAATTATGTTTTTGTTTTTGTTAGTATTTATTTTATATAAAATATAAAAAAATAATTAAAATGCATTATTTACTATAATTTGAGTTCAAATACTTAAAATACATAAATCATGCAAAATTATAAAATTTTATTTTAAATTTGTAAAAATTATTTAAAATATTTAAAAAGTTTACTAAAAGTAACAAAATACAGATTGAAAATTTTAAAAATTATTTTTGAAAGCTGTAAACCAAATAAGTTTTGAATTTCAAATTTGTAAAAATTATTTTCAAAATATACAACCAAACTCTAATTATAAAATTATTTGAAAATCTAAACCAAACGGACCATCTATTTATATTTTGACCTCAAATTTTTTTTTTGCGCAACAAATTAGATAAATTATATTTTAATCCATAAGATGAATATTTCTTTATATTTTTTTAGTATTTTTATCAAAAAAAGTTACAGATTTTACAAATTTTAGCATGATACGTATAAATTATAACTGCATTTTGATCTCAACAATATTTATACCGTGCCTTTAGGCACGTGCATACACTAGTATATATATATATATAAATTATTAATTTCAGTTCCATATCAACATTTTAAGGTAGCTTGGTTGGTTGAAGCTTGCTTCCACTTACCCCCAAGGTAACGTGTTAAAAATTAGGGTTTCACAACTTTCACTCTCTTTTCCCTCCTTTGTTTCTAGACCCCTCTCTCTCGCTAATCTTCCACCGCTTCAAAATTAGGGTTGTATAACGGTCTCCTCTCTTTTCACTCCTTTGTTTATTGACGCCTCTCTCTCTATTATCTTCCATCGCTGCTCTCTCTCCATAAACCTAAACCCTTTCGATCTCTCTAGCTTCTATCCATTTGAGAAACCCAAAACCTTTGAAATTGACCCATTCAAATCGTCTTTCTGATGGAGAACATGAAGACGAAGCACAAAAAAACCCTTAGACGAAGCAGCAGAAACCCCCTAAACCACACTCAAACCCTAAGACGAAGTAGACGAAGAAGAAGAAGTGTGAGATCGTCTGAAATCGATCACGCATCTTGAAATCTAGTTATTTATTTTTCTGAAATCGTCTTTCTGATGATGGAGAATTGCTTAAATTTTGCTTTAAATTGCTTGAGATTAATTGAAATCTGTATAAAATTGCTTGATTATTCTTGTGATTATTTTTGTTTATGTAATTTCAATATGATTAGGTGAACAAGCTTCATGAAGTGTGTTGAAGATTTCATAGCTAGGGTTTATCTGCAACTTAACAAGATTTTTCAATGCTCAGTGGCTTCGATTTCTCAATCTCAAACCTCTAGTGGTCTTCTTTTACTGGTATTGATTTCTCTATCCATTGATTGCTTTATGACCACACACCCTCATCAAACTCTTAATCACCACTGTCACTATCTCTCCTCTCTCTCTCTTGATGTGTATTTTGCTATAGCATTGCATGATGTCAATATTCACTTTGACTCTATTCTTGATGCATGTCACAATATTTTCACTCTGTATAGTAATTTTGAAATTCATGTTCTGTTTTAGCTTTAATATGTGCATTGGTTCCCCTACTTACAGTGAAAACTTCTACTCTATTTATAGACCAAATTTTCTCTTATGAGGTAAAAAAGTTATTTTAGTAGAATTGAGACAAGTTTTGTTTTGGTATTACTCTGAGGCTTTTATTGGAAAAGCTTGAAAATCAAAGCATTCAATGTATATTGTGTCATGGTAGGGTGCAACTTGCCTACATCTTTGCTTGTGGATGTACAAATAATTTTCCATCACTACCGCTATAGATTTTAGTTATAAAAATGCAGTTCCCATTAAATAATGTTGTTGCTTTTTTTTTTTTGGGCGACTCCTATATGCATGTCCCCACTTTTCCATTGTTAAAAAATGTGTATTGTTTTTGTCTCATCTATTTAATTTTGCTTTTACTTCATGTTCAGAGTTTTACAAACATTGCAATTCCTGTTAGTGTAGTCCATGTAATTTGGAGATGTTGATGGAGATTGAGGGCGAGGCAACCACCGAGATTTTCAGTTATTTAGAAGTTTAATTTTGTAAAAAATAGCCCTTCAACCAAACAAGAAACAAATAGAACTTGGAAAAAAATGACCATGAATTGATTACAGGTGTTATTAACTTGTAGTTACTATTTATTTGGAATGTTGAAGTATTTTTGGTGTTTGATATTTGCCTCTCTCCTAGTTCTTCCCCTCATCATTATGCTTACATATGCGATGATGTAACCATTGTTCTTCTATTCTATAGTTTTACTCATGAATAGCCCTTCAACCAAACAAGAAACAAATAAAACTTGGAAAAAAATGACCATGAATTGATTGCAGGTGTTATTAACTTGTAGTTACTATTTATTTGGAATGTTGAAGTATTTTTGGTGCTTGATATTTGCCTCTCTCCTAGTTCTTCCCCTCATCATTATGCTTACATATGTGATGATGTAACCATTGTTCTTCTATTCTATAGTTTTACTCAGGAAATTCGTCTATTTTTTCTTTATTTTGGAGAGGTGGTTCTGCATGATGTTGATCCTAGTATGAGGACCTTCATTCATTCATGTTTGAGTCGGTAAAGATGATTCTATTTTTATTTTTTTTGTTAAGTAGGAAAGCCAATTTGTAGACATAAGTCGTAGCTCAAAAATAAAATACTACTCATGCTAATTAGTTTCTCAATTTTCTCTTGACACCAGGCTCTTAAGGATTCTTTTAGATTCTCCTTTTTGAAATTAAACATGTGTTCAGTTGTCAAAATCTCCATTAAGCTCAATTAGTTTCAGTACGAAATTACTATACCATATTTTGTTCCAACAACGTCGGGAAGGTGCATAATAACTTTAAACATACAAAATAAGATGTGGCATCACATAAGGAACAAAATTTATTTCTAAAGTAGCATTGACAGGACGAAAATAAAATAAAACTACAATTATGAATATCAATATATGAAGGGTCTTGTTAACAAGTGCCTCGAGGACACGAAAAGTAGACCAAAAAATAAATTTGAAAACACGACATTTTTTATTAAATTCAATGCTGTTTTTATTGAAATTAATGCACTTCTTTTAACTGTTTGACCTATTTTCAAGACACTTCTTTATTTCAATCCTAATATCCAACACTTTTAGCATTTGTCATATGCAAATATCTTGAGGACACCACAATTACACGAATTATAACTAAGACCATTTCAATAAAATAAATTACATATATCTATTAAGAACAGAACAAAAAGATGACATGAGGAACTTGCTTCTCTACATTTCAGGAGCTTTAGCAATAATGGAGAAAACTACAAATGCAAGACTGATGTTACAGGAGGACAAGTTACCAAAAAATTTGATATCCATGTTTCATATTTCTTCTTTTCTACTTCTAAATCTCAAAATTCAGTCAAATAAAGAAACTAAATCCTAAGCAAAGAATCATGCCAATCTCAAATCATACCTGAGGGAGTAATGTAGGGAAATTAGTTAGAAGTTTTCTCTTGTTAATATTTCGAAATTTCAGTGTAGCTTCTACAACAACATGGTCTAAAAATTCACTTAGTAGTTTATTAGTGGTAGTTGCTACATAATTAATGTATGTTGGGTTATATATAGTAAATCCATGTGTTTTTTGGGCGATTAATGTAGACCTTTTTTTATTCAATGGCAACTGAGCAGCGAGTAGTAACACAAGTGATGAAGACTAAAGAATTCCTCAACTGAGCAGTGAGTCAACAACTACGTAATCTCAGTTATCACTCAAGAATTTCTTCACTTATGTTGCTGCCATTGCTTGGAAATGGAGACTAAATTGGGCCCTAGTTTTTTTTAGTTTTTATTTTTTTCATTTATCCTTTTTGATGTTGTGATGTAGAGTGTGATTCTTGGGAAGCTAACATGGGCATGGAGATAGAAGGTGATGGGGGTGCCTGCACATCTTCAACTTGATCTGGAAGCAGATCTCGTCTTGCCTCCGGCACCAGCTACCAGAGTCGACAACCATGTAATTTCTAGTCTCAGTTATCACTGAAGAATAAATTCACTTACATTGCTAGCATTCCTTGGAAATGGATATTGTATTTCATGAATAACTAATCAAAATAATTCTATTGACACGGCTTTTACAGGTTCCAACTAGTATGGTGTTAGAATTGTATGATGCACGATTTGATTCATACAATTTAATATGAGTTTCAACCAAAATTATTTGAATTGTGTTGTTTGAAAATTGGGTGTGCTGTTGAATTGAGAATTGAGTAGTTCATAGGTTTTTGTTTACATAATGTATTGAAATGACGTCTTTTTCAACTACTCTATGATGAAACAAAAATAGGGCAATTGGTTATACTGCTATACGTGGTGCTATATATATATGTAATATATAATTTA